GCTTCCTGATTTGGTATTGCATATGCCTCAGGCCACCTGGTGAAATAATCCATCACCACACAAATGTACTTGTTTCCAGCATGAGTTTGGGGCAATGGGCCAGCAATGTCAATATCTACTCTTTCCATTAGTGCACCAACTTGATTGGAGCTGGTCCCTTATGCTTGGGCCTCTTTTAAGCACAACATGTACTGCAGGTCCTGCACCATTCTTCTACATCTTGCCTCATACCTATCCAGTAAAATCTCTGCCATAGGTGACTCAATGTCTTCTTAATTCCAAGATGTTTTCCTGTTAAACTATCATGCGTTTGTCACAGCACAACTTCCCATAACGTTCTCAGTATAACTGTTTGCAAAGTCGTCACTTCCCATCTCCAGAGAAGAATGCCAGCTTAAAGCTTCAACTGGTCACAGGGTTTAAGCTAGGCATCTTCTCCCAAGCAGGGCACAAAACACTTGCTTGTAGAAAATCAATTATTGGCTTCAAATCTTGGTCTTTCTCCTGTTCTGCTTTAATATTAATAATTGGTTCCACTTCACCATTATCAACTCCTTCAGTTACTTTGACTTCAGCTTGAGGGCACCTGATTAGTTCAACTTCTCTTTTGCAACAATGTCTGCAGTCATTTTTGCACAGTCTTCAGCTCAGTCCATCATCATTTCCATGAAATTTTCTTGTCTGTATTCAATATCATAATTATAGAGGTAAGGATGGAAATATGCAGGCTCTTTACTAGAGCAAGGAGTTCCCTCTGTGTTTAACAATAGTTCCTCTCTGGTCTACTCAAGACCCTACTGAAGTAGGCCACCACATTATCGTTTTCGCCCACATTCTGAGACAACACTCCTCCAATTCCAACATTACTAGCATCACAATCCAGTATGTACGACAGTGAGGGATTTGGAAGCTTTAAAAGTGGGGTTGAAGCCAATTTTTCCTTCAATGACTTGAAAGAATTCTGGCAAGAAACTAACAATTCAAACTTCTGGCCTTTTTTTTTGGTCAAATAATGTAGTGTAGCAGCTATAGTTCACAAACTTCCGGTAATAGGT